GCATCTTAAAGTCAGGTAAGCGTCTTTGTGATGAATTGAGACCAGTAGTAAGATTTTGAGAGCTTCCAACAGTGGGATCAAGTGCATTGTGTTTTTCTGTCAAAAGGGTAATGACTTGATTTTGCTCAGTGATTGTACATTGAAAGGCTTCCAAGTTTGTTCCTTGATTGGCAATTGTTTGTTGCAGAGCTTGTTGTTGAGCAATGAGGCATCTCACAGCTTCATCCAAGGCAATAGTTTCCTCAGTATTCATAGTAAGATCCATGATGGAAAAATGTGGATAATAGTAGAGTAGTAGTAGTAGAAGTAGTAGAAGTAGTAGTAGTAGTAGAAGTATTCAGAAGAGAGAGGTTCATATAGCCGGTGCTACCAAATGTTATGGAATGAGCATATAGTTAGTGGTTTTAATAGCCAAAGATCTGTATTTTTAAATGAAGAAGTTTCCAGAAAAAGAAAAAAGAAAAACAGAGAAATAAGAAAATAAAGTAAACAGTTGAATAATTAAAAGATTGATAAAATAATGATAAAAGAATAATATGGAAGTAAAATGAGGTCTTGGTTGTGCTTGGTTGTTGTGTTGATATCAATGCTTGAAGAATTTTCCAGAAGGAATTTGAAAAATGTGGATAATTACTTGATTTGTCACCATTTTAGCAAAAAGTACTTATTCTGTTGCACTTGAATGTGAGAGAATTAGAAAGTTCCACGTGGGCAAAGTTAACTTGGGACAGCAAAGCAAATTTTTAATCTTGAGTTGTGTCTTGCATGACTAAGTTTTCCTTTTGTTTTAAAGCAAAGTGAAGTTGAAGTTTCATATAAATAATTCTCTGTTTATTTCTATTTCAATAACTCTGAAGTTATGGAGTTTCAGGATCATTTCTGAAACAAAATGAAATAGAATTTTTGGGTGGTACAAGTAAAAATTTCATAAAGAAATTGTGAAATAGAAAAGGAATAGTGGCTGATAAATAAAATAATAATAAATGAAAGTAAAGAATAATAGGATAGTATTATAAGAATATAATAGTAATAATTTCAAATTAAATTTATGGAAAACTAGTCAGTTTCCATGCTGGCAATGTCTCAAAGCATAGACCACAAAATCAACCTAATTGACAAAAATGTTACTCCAACTTCAAGACCAATCTACTCAATGAATTAAAAAGAATTAAATGCATTAAAGAAAGAATTAATCTTTCTCCTGCAGAACAAGTGCCTTTGAAAGGCTGGAAAACTGATTTGTATTTCTTGATAAGTATTTGAAGTTTGTTTGGAAGTGTTTCTATTAATTTTGATTTGGCATGCCTGATTTTGTTCTTCTGTAGTCTTGACAATGTTGGAACCTTTTTTTGAGGCAATGTTGCTAATTTCTTTAGATAGGGTCACTACAGCTTTATTGTCTCTCAGTGATGGTTTTAATATAAGCATTCCTAACATTTGAATGTCTTGTGGTCTTTGAAGTAAGTTGTTAAAAGCTGTCACCAAAAGTAGCTGAATCTTGCATGAAGGCATCTTGCAGATCTATTGATGTGAATTGTTTGCAAAGTTGAAGCAAAGAGTATTCAAGGGCAGATCTATGGTTGGGTTGAACTTGTCTAACCAGTCATTACCTGGTATTAAACCATGGGTAATGTTAGTCAAGATAAAGTTACATTGGTCCCTGAATCTACTTGAAGTAATATTAGTATATTTGATGTTCTTATAAATGTGTCTGTCAATAATTGAGTGGTTTGCTAGGTGTATTGGTTGCTTTTCATTTGTACAGTGAATTTCTTGGTGATGATTGTGTTGTGCATTCATAAAGTTAGCATTAATTCCTGGGTCAATAAGTATTTCAGCTGGTTGCTTTCCTATTAAACCATTAATTGTGAGGAGAGATGATTGTGAAGTTGGTTGTTTCATGTGGTGCAATCTAAAATATGGTAAGTCTGTTGATGAGTTTGTTGAGAAAGGTTTAGTGCTTGATGAAATTGATTCTTGTTTGTATTCATATTCTTCAAACTTGAGTTGATTTGCTATTGTTGCTTTCTTTGGTAGTGCTGCTGCTTTTGGTGATAGTGGCAGCAGCTTTGACATTGTTGATGTGCTTGGAATGCTAAAAGTTTCCAGTACTGATTTGTTTGCTATTGTTGTTTGAATAATTTTTGTTACTTTTATTTAGGGCTTTTGTTGTAATTATTGTTGCTTGGGTACTGTTGTTGTGCTTTTTGGCATTGGTTGTACATATGGTTCTGGAGTGGGCAGAATGTACACTAACTGTTCTTCCAGTACATCTTTTGTTTCTCTTCTGAGAGACATGGGAAGTATTATGTGTTTGGGTTGTGTTCTATTGTTGTGGTAATTGCCAAAATTTGGGGTTGAAAATTTTTATGAAGGAAAATTTTGTCCTTATTTTGTGCTGTTTTTTGGTTCTTTGCCAATAGAAATTATCTAGGGGCTCAGTGCCCATTTGAAGTTTTGTTAGATTGTCTTTGATATTGAATAATTTGTGCTTGTCACAGAGGTGTAGCTTAAAATTCTAAAGATACTTAATGCAAAAGTATTTGTCTTCAAGATTGATGCTTTCAGAGCAAATTACAGATAATAGATTGTTGAATTCCTGTGAATATAATGTTGCAGATGTTGTTTGTTTAAGAGATTTTACGCCTTCAACAGCTTGTGTTAGGGTTAATTGGGATCTAAAATTTCAACAAATCCAGGCTTGATAATTTTTTTAAATTATATTTCTATGCTGGTATTCTGGCAGATGTCTCCAGCATGTACAAGCATGTTCTGTGAGTCCTGTAGTAATCCAGGCTGCATAGCAAGGCTGTTGTTGGTGAGTTGGCTCAGTGCTGTCTGTGAGAAATCTGTATAATGGCATGTTCTTTGCATCTAAGTAAGTAATCACTGATTATGTTTTGAGTTTTGTGCACTGGCTCGGTTTGAGTGTTGCCATTGAATTCTGGTGACCACAAAACAACACCTGAATAAGAAATATTCCCTTTATCACCATCACTACTGAAAATCTTCAACCAAGCAAAACAAGCCCTAATTTTGCCAAAAATTTTAGGAATTTTTGATACAAACAAAACAGTATACTTAGCAACAGACTGATCCAAAAGAGCATTAGGATCATGCATCTATCAACTAGATGAAAAATAAATTCCTCTTCCAATAGCTTATGCTACAAGAAAGTGTAATTAAGCCAAATCAAATTATCATCCATACATGGGTGAAATTTTATCACTAGTGGAAGATTTCTGCACTCATTTCCAATACATTCAAGGAAACAACGTCTACGTCTACACTGATCACAGCTCTTTTCAACACATTTTAACACAACCTCAGCTTCAACCTGTACATTTTAGATGGCTCGCCAATCTTCAACAATACGACTTCAAAAACCAGAAAAATGAAACACAATTCCAGACGCATTATCTAAACAATCATTTTCACAGGGCATTGCTACATCAACAGATGATTTAAATGTCACTACATTAACAACAATGCAAATTAATACAATTTTACATGTCATCAAAAATTTTCACAGTGAGATAAGAGAAGAAAGCAAGACAAACAAAATGTTCAGCAACATATCAAAACATTTAGTAGATCCCAATGACAAATCTATCTATGAAAATACACCAGATAAGGCTCCAAAGCATTAAAAACTTTAATAAGATGTTACCAACTATGTGAAGGCATCCTATACTACTTAGACAAAACACACGCTTGAATGTATGTTCTAGAATCTCTTTGCTTGTACATGACTAACCTGGCTCATGGAGGCAAGCATGGTATACATAATAATTGGGAATGTACAGCTGAAAGAATCACAAGACTTTATCACCAGCCATCATTCCACTGTGACATAAAGAAATTTGTACAATTCTGCAACTCATGCCAATGCTTCAAAGTAGCTCAAAGATTACCTTACAAACTATTACAACCACATGAAATTCCTCAAGGATGTTGGGAAACCTTTTCAATGGACTTCATTGACCCAATTGTCACCTCAACAAACAGTTACAATACAATAATGATAATAGTCAACTACACAACAAAACAAACTCAAATACTTCCCAATTCTGGACAACTCTACTCAAGTCCCTACATGCTAAAGAAATTGTATCCACTTCATTCCATCTGCAAACAGACAAAAACACAGAAATCAGAAAAGATCGGATCATCAGAGCACTACAACACTTTGAATCACATTACCAAGAAGACTGGGATTGTTACCTTCACATAATTAAATTTGGAATTGACAACACCAAGAACTTTTCTACTGGATACACTCCTTTCATGTTAGCCATAGAACAAAATCTGACATCCATAAAGGAAATTAACCTTACAGTATATGAAAATCTGAGCCTGCGAGACCAACAAGCAGCATATCAAGTAGCAAAAGATAACTTACATGCTGCTCAAGATAAGCAAGCAGCCACAGCAAATATACATCGACTCAAATCACCCTTCAAAGTCAACAACCTTGTACTATTCTCTCTCAAGGATTTCAGACCACCACACATCAAGGCTCATCAACAAACTACAGCAACAAGAAAACAAAATAAATCAAGAAAATAGTTTATCATTGCGCACACTCTTGGAGGCAGGTGTCACAGAAACTGACTAGTTTTCGGTAACTTCAACTCGAAATTGTTACTGTTATATTCTTATTTTATTATCATATTATCTTTTATTTTCCTTTATTATTCTTCTATTTGTCAGCTGTAAGTTCTTTTCCATTTCACAATTTTCTTTACGAAATTTTTACTTGCGCCGCCCAAAAATTCTATTTCACTTTGTTTGAGAAAGGATCCTGAAACTCTATAAATTCAGAGTTATTGAAATTAAAATAAACAGAGAATTCTGTATTGAAAATTTCAACTTGCTTTGCTTTAGAACAAAAGGAAAACTTCATTGTGTAAGACACAGCTCAAGAATATTTATTGCTTCACTCATTCCAAGTTACTTTTGTTTAGTTAAAATTTTTACAATTCTATTCTAAAATATAAGGACAGATGGCCGAGTGGTCTAAGGCGCTAGCTTCAGGTGCTAGTCTCGAAAGAGGCGAGGGTTCGAACCCCTCTCTGTTCATCGTTGTTTTCTCTTTTAAAAGTGAAAAATTTTCTCTTCCAAAAGTCCGAAAATGCTTTATTGTGTGAATGACCAGACTACGATCCATGTGCGCTGCAAGTTCTCACGTGCTGTGGCTTCAAGGAGAGCCCAGATAATACTGCAAGGAATGGTGTATTTGATGTTAAATGAAACGCAACTCCCTGTGTGTGTTTCAGTGAAAACTGTCTGTGTTTATTTAATAAAGAATATACCTGTG